CATTACCGCCCCCCAGCCCCCACCTCCGATCTCGATTTTAATATTGTTAGCGATGGAGAATCTGCCTCGATCCTTGGCAAACGAGTGCATGTTAATTGCCCTCCCCGTGGGACAGCTAGGCCTTGCTACAGACGCGTGTCTGCCACCTTCTCCGTGCCAGAGCGCGGCCCCCATTGTCAAATAGCACAGGGCAGGCTAATCTTCTCTGAGCCTTCTCCGTGTGTCAACATCCTTCTTGGCCCGTGGGCGCTGGGGATGCCAACGGGTTTGTATGGGTAAACGTGTAACCGCTGGGTGTGCATTCGCACGCAGCCCCCGCCTGCCCCTCACACAGGAGTGTAACGTTCATACCGGGGTGGCTACCCCCGCATGCAGCTCTTCTCCCCTTTAAAGTGCGGCTCGTGAAGCTGCCCCTGCGCCCCTAGAAATGGCCCCCATGCTCACGGGGGCAGGGGAGCCGTCCGGTGCGGCAATTCAAAATGGGGAGCTCTTGCTTTTTTTTTTTTTTCTCTCAACAAAATGGAGTCCAGCATTTTCCCACTGCTGTCCCAGCTCTCTCCGCTGAATGGGCTGGCAGCCCCTGCTTTACGCTCACATCCCTAGTGCCACCAGAGCTGGCCACAGGTTCCAGCAGCAGTAGCACCAGTGCCAAATCCAGAGGGAAAACAGCCTTTCTGCTCCCACTCAAGAGCCTGGTTGTGCCTCCATGGATGGCGTTCCTTCCCAGCCAGTGTTGTGCACACACGTCCAGCTGATTCTCCGCCACAGTCCCAAATCTTCCCCACGGAGTCCTCCGTGCTGTGACCAGGGCCTGTGCTTTGGCTCCTCGAGGTACCCACAAGCCGAATTACAACCAGTTTTGTGTGTTCCCAGGGACCAGAGCGTTCTGTCTTTCCTGGTCTTTGTTTCTCACGCCCCCAACTTTTGTGTCATGTGTAAAGCTGATCAGTGATTTTATGTCGTCTTGCTTGTCATTGAGAGAGCTGTTAAATAGGAACCGTTTCCTGCAAGACCCCTGTGGGAAAGCCCTGCTTGGTAATGAGTCCCTGTTTCCAGCTGCGTTTTGAGACCGCCCGGGTAGCAGCTTTCTGCCCGTTTCATCTGCCAGGGTGAAGCTGTTGTTCCTGTTTGTTAATCCCAGCGTCACGTGGTGCCAAGTTAAATGCCATTCACAATTCTAAGCCTGTTACATCAACATTATTACATTTATCAGCCAAATCGCCATCTCGTCATGACGGGCATTATTATACTCCCAGCCTTTCCTTCCTCGTTAATCAACTGCTCCTGTGTCTTGTCCCAGATCAATGTCAGACTGACAGCCCGCAGCTACCCGGGTCCTCCCATTTCCCCTTTTGAAATATTGGCACCAGTCGCTTTCTTCTGGAGCTTCTCCCCTGCCAGGACGGAGTGGGACTGGCTCTCCGGCTTGTGCGCCAGCACTTTTGAAACCCTTGGATGCCAGTTCTCTGGCGCCTGCCTTTGTCGTTCCTGTGTACAATCCTGCCACGATCCTGTTGGAGTGGAAGGCATTTCATCAGCAACACCTGCTCTTCCCACATCGTCCGCCTTGCCCCAAATACCGCACTGAAATGCCTGTTGGGCCTTTGGCCTTTGCCCGTTATTCTGAGAATACTAAGGTGAGGGCTGCTTCCCTTCCGCATAGCCCCTGAGGCCCTTCCTCTCCAGCCTTGCGGCAAGGCTTGTTGCAGGGGTCAGCCAGGGGCGTGTGCTAAGGGACTTGCCCTGCTGCGGAAGGAGTGGGTGGGAAGTCCTTTATTTCCGCCTCCTGGTCTCCCGTTGCTGTGTCTGAGCCCGTGTCTGTGCTACTAGGCCTGGCCAGTGCACGCTGGGGGTGACTTTTGGCTGCTGCTCGGCATTGTGCATACTTGGTTGCTTGCTTCCTCGTGGTGCAGTCACCACAACGGCTGCATCACTAGAGACTGGTGCCCCAGGGAGGTTCCCCCGGGAGGTTCCCCCTGTGGCCTGTGCCGCGCTCTGGGACGCTGCCTTGTGGGATGTTTGCGGAGTGCTAGCCATGTGCCCAGGGAGCTAGGCACCATGTTCCCACCGTGCAGCTTTCTGCATTCCTGATGCTTGCTCCAGCCTGATGTTTCCACCCTGGTTTTCAAATCTGCCAGTCCCATGTGTCACTCTCCAGGGTGCTCTGTGCCGTGCTGATGCTAATCCAGGAGGTGCGGTTCTCACCAAGTGCAGAGCCTGCGCAGTTCTGCTGCTCGGAGCAGGCAGCACAACGTTCAGGTGTAGGGACTGGCCCTGCTGGACACAAGGAATCCAAAGGCCAGGTTGTTACTCACCTCCCCCGGGAAGCGGGCCCGAGAACCAGGCACTGCCTGGGGAGATTGCATGGCCGTGCATTCTCCCAAGTGTGTGAGGCCGTGGGGACTGTTCCTCGTGGGAAGGTGCAGGGCGTGATGCAGAGAGCTGCAGCAGTACGGTTCCCTGAACTGCAGTGGGCTGACAGAGGGCACGCGTCCTGTTCTGGGCTTGCACCCCCGGCCACTGAGGGATACTTTCCCAGGGTCTCGCGAGCACTGGGGGCGACTGGGGTGCAGCACGTACCCGTGGGTGCTCAGGGAGGCATCTTTAAGAGCACAGGCCTTGTCAAGAAGCTGTGAGCAGGCACATTCGTCCCCAGCTGACACGTTGCCATTGGCAATGCTGAAATGCCAGGTAGGGTTCTGGGGGACCCCGCCACTCGAAGTGCCAAAGATCCGGCCAGCATCTGGCAGGTCCAGAATAGCTCTTGGATGTGCTTTTGGTAGGTTGAAGGGTCGCTGGCGCTCTTCCCACACGAGGCTGGATTGCAGATAGCCCCGGTAGTCTCCTGCATGCTGTGGACAGCGTAATCTTGGAGAGGCAAAGAGGGGCAGGCTGCTGCCAGGGCAGAGGTGCGGTGGGCCAGCTGTCGGCTGAATGGGAACAGCTGGAGAAGAGCCAGCTGAGGACCTACCCAGCCGAGGGAGGCTTTACCAAACCGTTTGTCCAGCCAGCCGCAATAGTGTTGTGACACCTTTAAGAAATAGCCTTGTGCGTGTGAACGATAGGAGTATAGTGCTGGGCGGAAACTGATAAACAGACTCTAGATCTCCAAAAATAGAATGCCATCCTGGGCAAAGAAACAGGAAGCAGAGTGCAAACGCCCCAGGTAAAACCAGTAGCCACGCAGGCTTGGTGAGCCAGACTTTAAAACCACAGCTCCAGATCCGAGTGCCATTTCAAAGGGGGGGCGGGCTGATTCCTCCGGCCACTTAGGCACTTAAAAGCCCTCGTTTTTGGTAGATAATGTGGCCACTGCAGCGGACAGAAGCCCTGTGTGTAATTCCTCAAGAACACTAAGCAAACGCTAGCCCAGCCGTTCCCAGCCTTTTCCAGATGGGGACCCATTTTGTCAATTCAGGAAGACTTGGTCACCCAGGGCAATTCAAACAATGTGTGAATGGCTCCTTACGAGCCACCTGGCGACCCTTTGGAAATGCAGTGGGGACCCGTAGGTTGGGGCCCTGCTAGACTCTCAGCTCTGATAATAGGTTCGGACACTGTAAGTTACTTAAGGGACCCTGAAAAACCTGAGACAGCCACTTGTCCTGCAGCACCTTAGAAACTACCAACAGGCAGCTGGGATCCTGAGCCCGCTGCTTCCCGGGAGCCCCCAACGCCTGGGTGCCTAGTCCCTCGGGTGCTGCAGGACGAGTCGCTGGTTCTCAAGGTTTCTCAGTTACAGGCTGACTCGCTCTCCCCGCCCTCTGGCACTGTTGGGTGTCAGATGTTAATGTCTATTCTTACTCTGTTCCGAGCGGGCCTGCCTCCGCTTGGGGGTGGAGAGAGATCATCTGGGGTCTGTGTAGCAGCATGAGAGTGGCCGTGCGAGGTCAGACGAAAGCCGTCTAGCCCAGCAGCCTTCGGCCGTGGCCAGTGCCGGGTGCTTCAAGGGACCGAGTGACTCGCCCTGTCTCCCACTCCAGCATGGCATGGATCCCTGCTCATGCTGGCTCCTGGCCACAGAGGGACCCGCTCTCCAGGAGCGTAGCTGGCTCTCTTTGACCTCTGGCCTCGCTTTGGCCTTCTCGCTGGGATGCGCTGGTGGAGTTGATTAACTGATTAACCGATACACAAACGCTTATTGGCTAATGCTGTAGACCACCCCTCCCCCCAGTACAAGCTGACCAACAGCCCGGCTCAGTCCTGGCTCGTGCTGGGTGCTGGACCTACCCCGCTGCAGCTCTGCATTTCAGGTGTTAGGAGCCAGGCGGGCAGGCAGCCCGGCTCAGTTCCGGCATGTGCCGGGTCCGGGAGCTTAGCCCCCCACCCCCCAGACGGGCTGCTGCCGCCCTGCGCTGCTGCTTCTGTGTCAGAGGTAGCAGCACAGAGCGACAAGCAGCCGGTCTGCGAGGGGAGCTGGTTTTTAAACTGGCTCCCCTTGCGGACCAGCTCCCGCCTGGCATCCTGCACTGCTGTCTCTGATCCAGAGGTAGCAGTGCGGAGAGACGGGGGCTCCTTGGGGGTCAGGCCCGTCGACTATACAATGGTGGAGGAACCAATAAGAATTCATGAGGTTAATCGACTAGTGAATTAACCGATATTTCACATCCCTACTTCACAACACCCCGGCAAAGAGTTCCACAGGTTGACTGTGAAGAAATACTTGGTTTTAAATCTGCTGCCTATGAATTGTGTTGAGTTCTTGTGTTATCCAAAGAAACACATAACACTTCAGTCTTTCCATTCAGGATTTCATAAACCGCCATCCCTTTTGCCCCTTTTTTGCACGCTGCAAAGTCCCAGCCTTTTGAATTCTCCTCAAACGGAACGTATTTCGTGCCCCATATCATCTGTGTCGCCCTTCTCTGGGCCTTTCCAATGCCAAGATAGCTTCTTTGAGACGGGGTGTCCACGTTCGCACACCGTTTCACGTGTGGTCGCCGCACGGCTGGCCAGAGGCAGCGTGATGTGTCACGCTGCCTGTGACGGCGCGTTGGGGTCCCCCGTCTCCTGCACCCCGAAATGGCACAAACAGACTGCACCAGCCGGTGGAATAGAGGAAGTTTATTGCCTCTCCAGGATACAGCACAGCACAGATGGAATCTGGTCACAGAGCTGGGCTAGGATGCCTCAGGCCCCCTTGAGATGGGGGAGACTGGGCCCCTAAACTCCAGCCCCTTTCC